AAGCCTCAGAATGTCCACTGAAAGTACCAAAATCAAAAGTGGAAATAAACCCATTCTTACAACATCTCTGGCCAAAAACATGTAGCGGCATGTTACATGTACTCTGTTGTTTAGGTTTGTTTGGTTTTAAGCCAGTTCAGGAGTTCTCTCATTTGATTCTCCACTGAGTAATCCTAGCAGACAGAGGGAAAGTTTCATTCCAAATATAGTAACAGGGGAAAATTAGAAAGAATTACATATTTTGACTATAAACCTCACACTGAGCTGGTGAACTGAAGCGCTCCAGACAGCTTGCTGAGGTGAATGCAAGAAATGTATCTGCATGTAATTGGTCCTTGAAAGGAGAAGATTAAGAAAGCAAGAAAGTTGTAAAAACAAACCAAACGCTGGTGGAGGAAGTTGGGATCTTTAAGTATTAAAAGAAAAGTAAATGACAATATTAAATCTTTGATTTTGACACACATTCCATGTAAAGAACAAAGCTCGTGTCTAGATTGGGGTTATGAGCGTCATATTCCAGCCAGGTTTCAATGTACTGAACAGATTTGAAAATCTTTTGTCTTCCAGGCCAAACTCTCGAAGAACAGAGAACAAAGGATAAAACACACTCACATACAAAAAATGTAAAATTCACCAATTTTTCTGACATTAATTTATTTGAACACAGAGAACAGTGGTAACTGTTGTTGTAAGCTTGTTGCAACAAAGATTAAATCTTTCAATTGTATTGAACCTCAACGAGAGAAAGTGAAGAAAGATAAATATTACAGAGGCCTCAAAGAGAGACGTCCTGTTTTTCATGTTATTATTAGGCACAGCTAAACAGATATCCATCTGTGGGAAAAAAGGTAACAAAGTGTTAAAACAAACAGAATTTCAACTAAAAAACATTAGAACTACTGATAAGATGATGAGTCTCATATTTTAGGCTGGTGTAACATTATGTACAGTTACTTTCAATAACACAATTATTTATATAGACTCTATTATTCTCCATTATTTCCTCCAAACCATGAACGTGTCTTTTAGACCCCACTGCTACAAGGCTGTCATGGCGAGTGGGAGATTACATACAGGTGGGTGACACAGCTGGGAGTAATTAACAAGACGAGACAAGGGAGGTAAAACTGAATACACTCACATGAGACGCAGACCTTCACAATAAAACAGGAAACACGAAATCACTACACAAAGACACAGACTCAACACTGAGAGGCAGACAGAAAATAACACATGGAACCTGAACTACACTAAACGTGAGACACAACAAATCCTTAAACATGAATAAACAGAAACATAGAATTCAAATAATAACCAACAAATCACAAATTATGAACATGAACCCAGATAATGCACACCAATTAGGTAAACTGCAGGAAGGTCTTAAAGACATAAAGACCTCTATGACTTCTAATTTTCTGTCTCTAAATTTTGATAAAACTGAGGTTATTATACTTGGCCATAAAACCTTGGGAATATGGTATTTAACCAGATGCTTACTCTGGATAGCATTACCTTGGCCTCGAGTAACAGTGTGAGGAATCTTTGAGCCATTGTTTTTTAAGGATATGTCCTTCAAATTGCATATTAGACAAATATGTAGGGCTTCTTTTTTTCATTTCCACAATATCTCAAAATTTAGAAATATCCTGGCTCAGAGTGACACTGAAAAACTAGTTCATGCATTTATTACTTCTTATTAGGATGTCCTAAAAAAAATAAAAAAAAACCTCCCTGACAATACTCCAGCTGATCCAAAATGTTACAGAAAGAATACTGACAGGGAGTAGAAAGTGAGAGCATATTGCGATCTCTTCAATGGCTCCTGTTACATCCAGAATTAAATTTGAAATCCTTCTCATCACATACAAGGTTCTGAATAATCAGGCCCCATCTTATTTTAATGACCTTATAGTACTGTATCACCCCATTAGAGCACTTTGCTCCAGCATAGCTCTGAAGTGAAGATGTAAGTACAGGCTCATGCAGTACTGTGGAAGACAGTTGAACCATTGGTCATTTCTTTATTATTTGTGAGGAAACTGGAAAATAGTTGCAGTGGTTTTTTTGAAAAATGGGAATTCAGTATGTAAGGCAACAGTAGAGTTTGTACAATTCTAATGAGCTTGAAAGTCAGCATTTGGCTTGAACCCCTTTATTCTTCAACACAGACTGGACACTGAGGCAAGCTTTCTTGTAATTTCTTTAAGTGGTCTTTGGGCTTGTTGAAGGACATTCAAAGCTCTTCTTTGGATGCCTGCTGCCTTTTATTCTATTCTCAGTAAAGATGATCCCACACTACTTCAGTGATGTTAAGGTCTTGGTTCTGGGGAGGCTAATCCATGACTGATAGTGCTCCACTGCATGTTTTCTGTTCAGTTATGCAAACTCTGATGGTACTTTTATCCATTCTTATCATCAATTTTGACAAGATCTCCAACATTACTGTCTGATATGTACCAAACCATGGCAGAGCCTCCATGTTTTACAGATGGCTGTAGACATTCACTATTGTACCTCATTGTACCATTATATATATTGATGAATATTTGATCCAAAAAAGTTCTTAATTGGATTCATCACTCCATCTCTTGATTTCTGTCTCTGTGCTTCCCCTGTGTTCCTTGTGTCACGTCTCATCTAGTTATCATTTTATGTCTGTGCTTCTCCTGGTTTCAGTGTCAAGTCTGTCTCATGTTTCCTGTTTTATTTTGACGGTCTCGTGCTATGATAGTGTTTTTAGTCTCATTGTATGTGATTTCTCCCAGCTGTGCTCTCCTCCTGTGTCTCATTTCCTAGTCCTCCCTGTGCGTATATAAACCCATGTCATCCTCTGCTTGTTGCCAGATCTTCTGCAACCGCTGCATTTCCTATGTCTCATGTCACATATCTCATGTCTTTAGTTTCTTTATACTTGCTTCTAGTTTCCTCCCAGTTTAGGCTTTGACAGTTTAGTCTTTGTCTTTCTTCGCTTTTGTTTGTGTTTTGATTCTGCCACAATTAAAGGCACGTTTCAGTTAAGTCCATTGCCAGTGTCTGCATTTGGGTCCACACTCTCTCTTCACTCCACAGTACTGTTTACTCGGTAAAGTTAATAAAAGTGTAATATCAATATGACGGTAAAATAAGGCTTATATTTAATTTGAAGTAGATTTATCTTGGATTGCTGTTTCTACCGCAGAAGCTGAAATCAAAAGGTTTCCTAAAAGTTTGGATGTGAGTCCAATGTAACATTAATAACCTCTGAGTGGCCTTTTGTGAAGTCACAGCCTAATCTACTCGATGCATAGCTACAAATCTTTCCCACCACTATCTTCAAAAGGTTTGGCTTTCTTGAAAAGCTGTTGTTTTTGAACATCACTGAGCAATGACATGTCTTATCAAAGCACTAAATGATTTAATGGGTTTTAAACTTTCCAACCTTTATATTCTGCTGATGGGAAATATTTGTGATATTTAGGTCATCATGCTTTATCATTGCATTTTCAGGATATGCTAGTTACACACTTGTCCGTGATAACAGTAAAATCTCTCAGCAGTTCTTCCTTTAACGAGCTGCTTCACTGAGGTCACTCTATTGAAATTTCTAGACTTAGCACAGCTTCCTTAGAGACAGAAAGCAATTTTATTTCGCAGGATTTTTACTGTGTATTTTCACTGAAAATGTGAAATCCCCATTTTATAGTAATACAAAATAAAATGTTAATGTTTGAAATAAATAAATACCAATTTTATTAGTCTACATGTGTACATATGAAAGATGGCAAACTACTAATGTTTAAAGTCTTGCTAAAATTATTATGGTTGAAAGTATGTAAAGCAAACTGTATTAAAGGTATGAAAAATTGCTGTTCTGTAAATTGTCTGATTTATTATGACGCATGATATTATCAGATATATAGGGCACAATTATTCTATAGGGAAAATAAGGCAGAACGCCTTTTAACTTCAAATGCATGTTAGTACTCAGTTGACTGTCTGATAAATACTATGTTCAGTGACACCCCAGTTTTGTCACACCAATTGTCAAAATGTACTTAAGTAGTTGCCAAATCATAGCTTTACCTCGTGAATCTCTAATCTTTCCTTTTGCTTTCACACATCTAACACAAGAGAGTGTGTATTTTTTTCAGATAACTCCCATTACATTGGTTACAACGGTACATTTATATGTTTAGACTCATTTTCATGTGATGCAAATAAATGTATAATTCCTGTACATGATAATGAATGGGGTTACATCTATTGATCATTTCATCTGCTTGTGCAGTGTATTTATGTATGTGTGTATGTATTTATGCATTGTTTATTCATTTATTTATTTATTCATTATATCATTTGATATA